GTAAGAATAGAGTGTGCAGTGTAGTACTTTCATGTTTATAATTTTATTAGCTTATTAATTATTTACTTGTTATATTAAGCAAAGAATCATTGAATTGATGCTCTTAGAATCAAAGTGGGTCTCAAGAGATCGCTGGCATATTATTAAGTGGTATGTTAAGTGGAAAAATCAGGATACTCTTTACTTTTTATATGTTTTATTTAAAAATTCAGATACATAAGGAAAAAAATTGGAGAATAACATCTAAAAGCTCTTAACAGTTTCTTATAGAATGGGATTATAGTTTTGGGGTTTTTTTTTTCTCTACTCCAGCTTCTTTAATGTGGTTTGAGGTATGTGGGTGGGTGTGGCTGTGTGTATTTAAAGTTATTAGCTTGTTCTATACCATCTTCAGTGATTACTGTTCCATGTAGATTTACAGCTAAACTGCTTTTTAGCTTCTAGATACGCTTATCAGAATGTGACTTGAGGGGCCCCTGGGTGGGCTCCATTGATTAAGCCTCTGCCTTTGGCTCTGGTGGGGATTCCATGCGCTCTGCTCAGCAGGGAGCCGGCTTCTCCCTTTCCCTTTGCCCGTCCCCAACCCCAGGATCCTGCTTGCTCTCTCTTTCCCTCTCTCTCTCTCTGCTAAGTGAATAAAATCTTTAAAAAAAAAAATCATGACATGACAGGAATTACATGTGGGACCTCATTGAAAAATACAGGGTGTTCCACAGAGGAATAAGAAGGCTTCTTCTTATAATAATAAGGAATAAGGAATAAGAAGGCTGCTCCCTTCTATGGGTGCCTCACGAACCTGGATAGAAACTTGAAAAAGCTGCAAAATGCTGCTTTAACCAGCATTGAAGGCATATGGCTCAGTATTTGGAATCATAAAAGCCTATCCAGCGTGTAATCTGCCTTTTCAGGTAGAACTAGGAGCTGCGGTTAGGAGAAACTGCTCATTTGTTTAATGTGCGCATGCCTTGACGATGAAACCCTTTCAAATAAAGGAGCAATGAATGATTCAGGATTTCTGTATCTATGTATACGAAAGTAACATTTTACTTTTGTGGGTAATTTGTTATGTTCTGTTATCTGAATGATTTTACAGGAAGGGGGAGTAAGTTTTTATATGGTAATTTGTGGAGGAATGTCTTTAGGGAAAAGAATGATCTTTACCTGAATTCCAGGATGTTAAAATAGCTCCGCCCCCATTCACTTCCTCTCAGCAGTATGAAATTAAGAAAGATGTATTCCAGTTTTAATAATAAGAAAATGTAGGTAACTTCACATTTGAGTCTCAGGAGATTCTGAAAAAAGAGTGGTTGAAAAGTTTCAGTATCCTTGGGGCACAATGTATCTATCTATTGCTCAATCAACTGAAAGCCTAAAGCCCAACTCATTCTGTCAGGTGATCTTCTAAGGAGGAAAAGCTGAACTTCTCATATTTCAGAATGAATGCAAACCATTGGGTAGTAACAAATGCAAGACCAATTTACATTTTCAGTACCTCTGAGCTGAACTTGAAGAAAAGATGCCTAATTTAAACAGGATATAAATGTCTTTTTCTGATTGGATAGTGCAAGAAAATATATGATGTGGCTTTTTTATTTGTGGGATTTTTGTTTTTTGTTTTTTAAACCAGGTCTGGTAGTCCATATAAAGAGAGGGTACATTTCTGACCCCTGGCTTTGTCAGCGTGTTGTGGCAGTCACACTACTGGTTGGGATACCTTCTTCTCTTAGCCAGCCCTAGGAGCTATGCTGATGGCCTGTGACCTTCCACACACCCAGATGTGGAATTCATTCTCTGACGGGATCCGTGGGCAAATAGTGCCTGCGGAAAAAACAGAAAACTTTATAGTGTCCGGCTAATTTGGGGGAAATTAAAAGCAGAACACTTTCCAGGAAAATGCTGGGCTTTAGAAAGTTTGAAATCTTCTCTGGTCCCCTGACTACTCACTTTGTTGCTCAACTCCCTTGTTCGTTTATTGACCTTCTGCATCTCAGACATTATCGGTGTGAAGACCAAACCTGCCATGTCTTGTTTCCCCATGCTTGTCCTTTGAATCCAGAGCCACACGAAGATTAGGGCACTGTGGAATGTTTGCTGTACAAAGCCCAGCAAATTAGTAGAGGGCTAAAATAATTGCTAAATTAGAAGAGTTCGTATTGAATTCCTAGAAAAGTTGAACCTAACAAAGAGGGACCTTTGAGAGCTCAGGGTGGGAAGCCCCTGCACGTGCCGTGTATTTGTCTGTATTGTCGGGTTCCCCCGGGGCTCCTGTCCCTTTGTGTGGTATGGACAGTGCTTGTATGTCCTGCGTGGAGAGAAGTGATAGTGCTCATTTCAACCTCAAGGATGTCACTGGACTTGCTTTTCTAGTAATTGCAAAAAGTTTGTGCTGAGCCCATTCTCACCTAGTTCCCTTTGTGACAAAAGGCAGATGTTTTTGAGGAAACCGTAGTTATCAAAGTACAGCCTAGGGGTGCCTGGGTGGCTCAGTGGGTTAAAGCCTCTGCCTTCGGCTCAGGTCATGATCCCAGGGTCCTGGGATTGAGCCCCGCATCGGGCTCTCTGCTCAGTGGGGAGCCTGCTTCCTCCTCTCTGTCTGCCTGTCTCTCTGCCTACTTCTGATCTCTCTCTGTCAGATAAATAAATAAAATCTTTAAAAAAAAAAAAAAAGTACAGCCTAGGCGGGCTCAGTCAGATAAGCATCTGACTCTCAATTTCAGCTCAGGTCATGAACTCCCCACACCGGGCCTGATGGAGCCCCACGTCAGGCTCCATGCTCAGTGCCAAGTATGCTTGGCATTCTCTCTCTCCCTCTCCATCTGCCCCTCTCCCTGCTCTCCCTGCTCACTCACTCACTCTCTCAAATAAATAAAATCTTAAAAAAAAAAAAGTAGCCTAAGATGTGGAACAGGACTTTTCTCTGGTCAAAATTAATCAAAACTAACTGACAGATTTAGAAATATAACTGGTTACCTTTTCCTTTGCATTCTACCCAGAGGGCACCAAGAAAGCTCTGAATGAAAGTATGAGTGAAGGCATGTCCTGGTTCTCATAGTCTGGTCTAGGTTAGGAATAGAGTCTGGAGCCTGGCACCTCCCCTTACCAGCTCTGTGCCTTGGGCACATGACTTAGCATCCCTGTGTCTGTTTCCACATCTCTACAGAGGGGAGGGGATACCTCATAGGATTATTTTGAGGATTGAACTATATATGTATATGTATATGTATATATGTATATATATATGTATATGTATATATGTATAGTGCTTGGAGTTGTGCTGGGCATATGGTAAATAGTAGTAATTTCATTTCTCATTATTATCTGCCTCTTTTTAATATTTTATATAAAAAGTTTGATTTAAGAGATTTTCAATTACTATTTTGAAGTATTTTTATAGAATTTCTATTTTTCTTCAGTAATTGTTGACTCTTCCTAGAAAGCATGATGGAATGTCCTATCACGTGCAATATCATAGATTAGTATAAATTTAATTGTAGTTAATTTTGGGGTCTCATGATTAGATTCATCAGTTATAAGAATTACTTACTGTCTAAGTGCCCAGTATATATATAATCAGTTGTTTATGCATTCAGCAAGTATTGATTGAGCACACAGAGTGAGTCAGACTCTTTTCTGGACCCTGGGAATTGAGAACATGTCAGATAAAGTCTTCACTCTCCCATGATTATGTTCTAGTGAGGGAGACAAACCATTAGCAAGTAAACAAATAAATCAACATGATAATTTCAAATTGTGCTAAGAACTATCAAGAAAATATAACAGGATGCTATGGAAGGGACAAGGGAAATACATCTCTTAGGGAAATACAACCTATCCTGTGACTTAAATGACAAGAAGAAGCTATCAGCACTGTCTGGGGAAAGAAGAACATTCTACCCCCAAAGTGGGGCCAGCCCATTTAGAGGGGAAAGCCAGTGCAAAGGGCTTGAGTTAAGTAAGTATTTCTGCAAGATCTGAGGGCAAAAACAATGGCCAGGTGACTGAAACAGGAGTATTGTATTCATTTAACAAATGTAGAGCGTGGAAGTTCACGTAACTCCCAAGGTTGTATGCCAGGGCTAGCTTTAGGAATTTAATTCAAAGTGGATGTGAAACCAGCTAGCTAGCTAGCAGGCTGTTCAAATAAGACTAGCAAAAGATGGGAGAGCTTTGATGGATCAAAGACAGGCAAACGAGACAAGAGTTAGTGTCTAGTGGGATATGGAGGGTGAAGGAGAGAAATGAGTTGCAAATCCGAGGGTCCTAAAGTAAAAATCTTTTAAAAGGTAGATTGTTTAACAAGATAGAAAGTGCAGTGGTGCATGAGTGGCTTGTCTGTTAAGCATCTGCCTTTGGCTCAAGTCATAATCCCAGAGTCCTGGGATTGAGCCCTACCTTGGGCTCCATGCTCAGCAGGAGAGTCTGCTTCTCCCTCTTTCTCTGCCCCCTCCCCCTGCTCATGCTCCCATGAGCTCTCTGTCTCTCTTTCAAATAAGTAAAATCTTCGTTTAAAAGTGCAAAGACAGATTTACAAGAAAAGATAATTTGTATATCTGTGGCCATGCTTAGTGGAACATTTGGATGGGAATGCTGGCAGGCATTTGGAAATTCAGGCAAAGAAGGTAGATAAACCAATAGGGACTATTTGTTGATGGTTTCCTTTTATAACTACAAACCAGGTGTAACCAAATCCTTTATGAAACATCCCACTCAGCTCAGTACAGGTCAGAACATGACCCTCAAGCTTAGTGATGTTTTGTGTATTGATTTCTCTGTATCCTGGAACATATAACCAGAATATTTTGTGTAGGGGCTGTCTCTGCTTTCCAACCTCACGTTTGTAACAGTATTCTGTTACGACGGTGATTTATAACAATAATTCAGTTGGGGGATGTCTAGACTGCCTTTAATTTATAAACATTACTGTACCTTATTCAGTTTATTAATTGCGGACTAATTGTTTCTCTACCACAGACTCACAGAGTTTCTGTTTCTTGTGTCAGGTTTCACCGTCCATAACGAAGTGTGAGACTCTTTGGAAACATGGACTGATCATCTTTGGGGGAAGCCTCTCTTCCTGAAAACCTGATATTGCACTGGGATTTGAATGTGTGTGTTTCCGTTTAACTGGTGAAGGAAGTGTATGGGAAGTGCTCCCTGCCTGCATGGCCCAGGTGGGGCCAACAAGCAATGGGAGGGGTGCAGTGCCTCTGCTGTCCAGCATGTGTATTGATGGTAAGCAACACCATGGTCACACCAGTTATCCTCCATCGGGAGTTTTAATCAAAGAAGATGAGCAGAAGACAATCGCTGGCTCCCTGTTACCAGAAAGCCAAATTGTAGAGTACGGGTTAAAGAGAAATCGGGGCCTGGAGCTGCTGGGCACGGGAAAGGGGTGGGGGTGGAAAATCAGAAAAAAAGAGAAATATTTCATTATGTTAATGAAGAAAAGAGAAAATCGAAGCATAAATATTTTTTTGAAGTAGGCTTTTGGTAGCTGAGAACTTACTAAGATATGGGACTCTAATCACCTAATGTGGATTCCTTAAAGACCTGATCCTAGAAGAATATTCTTGTTCCACCATTATGTTGCTGCAGTATAGTACCATTATTTTGCGTTGTGCCAGTGAATCCAATTGCCAGAAATAAGTCTGAGTGTTTTCATGCATCTTTTTCTTAAATGCAAGAGACTTTTATTGACTCTTAACAAGCATGCCTGTCCAAATTTTGTTGCATGTTTTAAGTAGCATAGCTATACACACTTTTTTTTTATACTCCTTATCTAATGTACCAAACTTCTACAAGGATAACAGGACTGGGAATAAAGTCAGATGAATGTGATCGTATAAATCTGGAGGAAGCTTTAGAAATAAATCTTTTGGTCTTTCCCTAGCTTGATTATCTTCAAAATTGAAGCAACCATACTTGATCTAAGGAAGATAATATTGACAATCACAGCACGTTTTTTAAAAATCTGAGTCCAAAGTTAAAACTTAAGCAAATGCAAGTGTTCTGCCAGCAGTTAGCTCTGAATGGGCATGGAAAGGACTACTTATTTTCAGAGCTGCATTAAGTTAGATTGCTGCTATTAAAAAAAAATAAGTATGTGGATCAAAAAAGTACCCGAAGGCTTAAAAGAACACAGAAAATTCCTGCTAAGTTGCAAGTGAGGAGAACCTCATTTTGTATTTTAAGAGTCTGCAGATTGCATCCGTAAATATAGCATTGACTTGCAATGCAAAAGAATGAGTGAGATTAAAGGTTTCTCTGTGAAGGAAGGTTTCTCTGTGAGCCTATAGTCAGTATTGTTTACATTAAGAAACCCTCAATTGCCATCTTGCTATTTTCCTTGGAGTTGCAGGCAAACTTCTGCTCCCAAATACATATGATCAGATGTAAATACTACCTTGCATTCAGTTGTTCTTTCATGATTGTTTTGTGCTCCTTTTATTAAAAACACATGAGACATATAATAACAAGACAAGACTAGTAGACTTTATTTTATTCTCAGAGCTTGGGCTGGAATTTTCTGAAGTGCTTCTGGTTCATGATATGGAAGACTGTAAATTGCAATTTCAACCAAAAAAGCAAACATTTACTCTGGTGGATAAGTTTGGATCCTGTCATTGATTTATATTTTATAGAACCACTAAAATTGGGTGATTTTGCTTAAAAATAAAAGGCTTTAGAAAAAGCCAGGAACATTTTATATCTAAGAAAAGTAAGCAGCATTGTTACACCTTTTGCTGTACTCAGCTCTGTGCATAATAAACCCAGATTTTGTGCTGTTGCCATTTCATTACTAGTATAAGATGAAAAAAATGTTTTGCATGCCCAAGTGTCTTTCTCTGGCTCAAAGGTTTTGTACATTTCATAGTATTTAAATCCAACCATGGACGTTAACTTTGTTCTAATTTTTTGGCCGAAGCCATCCTTAATATGATATTATCATTGTTGTGTCTCGGGAAAAATTTCAACGAATGTAATGTTACTTTAATTTTCTATACTTCAAGTCCTTAAATGTTGTCCTAATTTTTAATCACGAGGCCTCTATAAAATGGTAAATATAAGACATTATCACTGTTTTAGCACTGAAGATACAGGTCATAGAAAGTCTCTACTTGGTTGGTAAAAGAAGCAGTTTTTTCCCACTCCTGGTGCATGTGATGCAGTTTTTAATTCCCTACAATGAGATGCACCCCAGTACAAAGATGAGAGTCCAGTCCCTCCATATGCTCTTTTGCTCATATGATACGTCAGATTTATGAACCACCCACACTTTATACCAATTAACACATTTAGAGAAAAGTTTATTAAAAGTCACAAATATTACCACTGCTAGTCTAATATTTAAGAATTGGAACCACCAGTACATCATTAGAATGATTCGAATAGAAGGATTGTGAGCTAACCTGTATTTTTCAGAATAAGTCTCTGCATTCATAGCTAATTTTAAAGGGTTTTTATTTATTTGACAGACAGAGATCGCAAGTAGGCAGAGGGGCAGGCAGGGGTGGTGGGGGTGGAGCAGGCTCCCCACTGAGCGGAGAGCCCAACGTGGGACTCTATCCCAGGACCCTAGGATCATGGCCCGAGCGAAGGCAGAGCCTTAACCCACTGAGCCACCCAGGCGCCCCTTCATAGCTAATTTTAAAAGGTAGAAACACTGCATATTCAGCATCTCCAGCAACCTGTCCAAAGGTCTCTTACCTGGCGTCCCTAAAGATGCGGACCACGCTCCATCTAATTAGGCCTCTGCCCAGTGCCAGCATTTCCAGTATCCAACCAATAAGCTGCAGTTCTATGAAAAAAGTGTGTGTGTGAATTGGGCTGTTGTAACACAACACCAGCCTTTTCCCTATTTAAAGTGAGACATTAGGCTGACATAGAGGAAGTGAATGAGTTTTCCTGAATCCCCAAGATAGGATTAGGGAAGAAAACAAACCCATATCCAGGAAGATCTCAGGCAGGAAGGAACCAGACAGACTGTAAAACACAAAGTGGCCATTTCTCTCTTTTTTTAAATGGAGCAAAAGAACATTAACATTAAGCTGGTAAGAAGACGCCCTGGGCTTTACAGCATCTTTGTGGGCTGATGAAATTAGTCCTCTGCTTTAATTTAAGGCAACCCTGCCTGATAATTCCCTGTATATGTGAAATGTCTTGCATTTTTTAATGTTTGGTATAATTTACCTTTATGTTAATTCCTTAAATTATTTAAACTAAATCTATAATATTCAGAGAACCATTTGAGGTATTTGAGTAGCTGTTTTAAATGGAGGAAAAAGCAAACTCATCTATCTCTCTGATTTTCCCAGAAAAACAGACTTTCTGATTTCATTTTCATGTCCTTTATTAGCATAATGTTTGTAGTCATGGATCTTTCTCTAATGTTAGTAAATATGTTCTGTTAGAAAGTTTTGAAATGTAAGTGAAAATCTATTTTGGCCAGGAAAGGAATCAAAAACACCCTTCAAAAATCATCAGATACTGAAAATAAGAGATAATTTCTTAAAACCCATAATTTGGGTTTCACATCCTACAACAATTCTGTGCTACCTTGGGACTTCGAAAAAATCCGGTAGCTTACAATTAAAAGAGAAAAAACTCTGCATTAACGCTGCATATCCTGATTTATGTACCACATCTTAAGGTGTAACAGGCATTGTATTTATATTCAATAGTCAGACAGACACAACTTTCAAAAATGATACTGTGTTCACAATAGAAAAAGACAGTCTCGCCTACCACATAGTAGCATGTACATATTTAAAGAGTGAAAGCTGTCTTTTCTCCTTTTTGCTCAAAAATTTATTCAGTTTATTATTTTTTAAGTGGTCCCAGCAGCACATTAAACACAATGAGAAGTTTTCCTCAAAATAGGTGAGATGGAAGATACGTACATTTACATCATTTCATCAGTACAGTAGCTGCAGCATTCCTAAATTCCAGTCCTGTTATTATCCCTAACCTTACTAGTAAAAGTACATCATTTGAGACAAGAACTAATTTCTTCACATCATCAGAGTATGATGAGAGCAGTAAGGAACCACTAAGATGTAATTTATTTACAGAGTTGTCCTTTGGCTTCTGGAAATAGGTTATGTGCCACTATTGAGTATTTGCTGTTCTCTTACTGGCAGGCTATATCACATTATTTTGCTTGGCAAAGCAGAATGAACTTCTGGAACTAAAATATGTCCAAGAGGGGAATGCAATGACAAAAGTCACCATCAAATTAATGGAACCATGTTTCTGAGAGAAAGCTCATCTTTAGGTAGCTCAAATCCAAGTTTCAAAGAGCAGCATGAGGAACAACTATAATTTGGCAGAGACCAAAGGATGGTGGGGACAAAGGTAGAATATTCTCAAACCAGTTGTCATTTTCACTTTACCCTTATTTTTGGTAATAACTAAACTTAAGTTCTGTATGAAAATGGGAATCACCATTCGCATACCTGGAAAACAATGGAAGCAGAGTTCACAAAGCCATTCCAGATTAAGAAATCCCACTACATATTCTGTAAGATTTTTGGCAAAAATAAAATAAAATAAATAAGAATCCTATGGCAGCAATTCTCATCAAAGGCCAGTCTTATAGGCAGGGGTCATTTTTAGCCATTCTAGGATTTACTGTGCAAAAAATATCATTTAGCCTGTCACATTGCTGCCACAAACTGCACCTATGAGCACGGCACTGTTGATCTGTGTTTCTCAGTGGGGTGCCGTTGGCCTTTAGAGCTGGGCAATTCTTTGTTTACAGAAATGTTCCCTACACTGCAAGATGTTTTATATCCTAAGCCCCTGCTGACTAAATGCCAAGAGCATGCCCAGTCCCTGTAAAAACCGAAAGTCAAAAACGCTCCCCCAGTTTCCAAGGCCCTCTAAGGCAGTACCACCTCCCTTCAGTACCACTGTCTACTGTAATTTGAGGACATGCAGGGAAAAGTACCTATTTCCAAGCCTCGTCTGGGCTGCCTTGCATTACTTTGGGCCTAATAGTTTCCTCCCCTTTATTTTTCAAGCCTTCTGCTCCAGTGAAGCTTTAACTTGCCAGCTCTTCAGGGAGGAGGTTGCTGGGTGGCCTTGGCAGTTTCAATGGGCAGAGTCACTTGGCTAGCCCCTGTATGTAGTTACAGGAGAAATTTCAAATGAAGCAAACTATTTTTTTCTGTTTTGGCCTCACAGTCTTACCTGAGGACTACATTGTTGGTCACCATCTTTGTCAGTGTCTTGAGGATTATTAACATGGCTTAATCCCACATACAGCTACCAATCCACATGAACAGAACTGGTGGTCCATGAAAATCCCCATTAAATTTCACCAGTAGGAGGCATCCCTTGAGTTACAAAGCAATCCCCTGTTTACCCTGTTAAAGAAGCATTTAATCCACAGGCACATGCTTGAATTCTCCCCTGTATAACGATAGTCATGCAGTTCAACGTTTCTAAAATGTGTCAGTACTGAATTATGAAGGAAGCGTGGATTACCGGGATTGCACGCATATCGTTCATACTTCCGTGATGGTCATGCACAATTCAAGATGACTTCACCTCGTTGAAACATTACTGCGCTATGCTAACGATACATAAGCATATTCTCTGTTGCTTCTTCTCACCAAAACTGAATGGTTAAATATGTCTTGAAATGATTTGGATCCATTGTGGCTAATCGAATGGAAGAATTTAGCCACTATAAATTTTCTAAGTATTAAAATTTCCAACTATCTTTTTTGAGACAGAACAACTCAAGAGTTGATAAAGGAGGTTATATAGGGAATTTTTAGATGGTGCTTAAGAATTCTTATCTTGTTAAATACCAGTATTTTTTTTCTTTTTAAGAATAACTTAAAGGGAGTAAATGAGGCGGAATGCCACTCTACCCTCAGGTCAATTTCATGGTATGTTAAAATGCCAATAATATTTGTGCCACTTGCCAATTTGGGGGGCTCCTCCCTTACTGGATGCTTTTGCTATAGTTTGTATCATTACACTGCTTAGAGAGCCTTCACGAAAAGACGTCACCTTTGCAGTGCTAACTAGCATTTGAAAACAATCTGAATAAATCTAGGGTCAAACCACTTTCATTACTTAAAATATAGGCACTAATTTTTATTTTTATTTTTTTAAATATTTCTTCTGTGGCTTAGACACGTGCCAATGTGTTCAAAACATTCTGCGCCAATTTCCCCAGATGTAATACCTAGCAAAAACTCAAACTTGTCATTTTTTTCTATGTAATAGTGATTTTTAAATAAAGAACTGTATGCATTCGTTTGTTATTTTAATCTTTGGTTAAAGTGATTAAGAATGGTAAGCTGTGATCATTATCAGACTGACTGAATGATTCCTGATTTCCAGTAAGTGATCTAATTATACATATTCCACAGATACAATATCTGTGAGTGTAAGTAACTGGAACTGTACACTGATTAACATGACAGTTTCTCTTTTTTTGTTGTTCTTGATCTGTACTGTATT